TTGAATCCACTCCGAAGCATGTGAGACTGAAATGTCTTCTAGCGAGGACCTTCCAATACACTCTTATGTTGCGTTGTCATGTGATCTCTGTCACATATTGGATTAGTCCCCCCCCCCCTTACCAAATTCATCAAATAAAAAAATGCATTTTATTGAAATCCTTTTCAACAATCCTTGAGTCTGTCCATGAACGCCTGCTGCTGCCTCCCTTCCATTAGTCCAGCCCTGACCGTAGCACATACTGGTACAACACTGAACCTACTGCTGTGCAACAATACACACATTCACAGCCCACAGACAGCAAATTGCTTCTCTCATTTCCCACCACGCCCTGCCTTCGTTCTCAGCCACCTGCAACACAAACTGCGCTGGAAATTTCACTACAAATTATCCTGTGTCTGCCAAATCCCCCCCCGGGAACTGAGGAAATCAAAACCCTGGATGTCCCTGCCCCCAGTGAAACAGACCTCAGCCTCACTCACACAGAAATCATGTGGACTGTATTCATGTTTATAACTCTAAAAATGGTGGGTTTCTTTTTACTTAGGAAATGTATATCATATACTATGGTATTTTACTTGGACTGAATTGTCAAGTTTTATTCAGCATTAAAAGTGGAGACAAGGTTAAAAAAGCTACTGTAAACCTTTCACCAAAAAGTTGATTTGAATAAAAGTGGTGGTGAAGAATAAAAACCATATGAACGTTCCCAGTTTACTTTTTGTCAACACCAATTGTATGAACAAACCATACTTCTGTGGGCTTCGGGTCAACATGACATCGTGAATCTAAGCCTCCATTCCTACTAAGAAGGAGTGAAAACTGAGACCTGGTTGGCTTCAGGGGAAAATCAAAGGAAGGCACATACCTTAGCAGTGAATAATGATCAACAGCATAAACCCAAAAGCGTTAACATTGCAAGGGCCACAGTGCCTCCTGGTGACGGCTCTGCAGACCTCCAAACAGGCAGGAATGTCAGAGAGAGAGAGTGAGTCAGTGGCCGATGTGCCAGAGAGATGAGTGTTGAAAGCTCCTTGGAAAAAGGATTAGGGCTGTTTATGTTGGCCAAGTGGCCCGCTGCCAGCTGCTCAAGTGTGCAAACGTCTTAAAGCTGCAGAGCTTCGGGTTGCTCGTGAATCTTTTCACTGTGTTTACCCTCCACCCCGACTGTATGGATGGTTGTGCTTTGTTCAGGGGGGAAAGCCCCCTCCTCTCAAGACCCCACCTCCATAAAAACACGCTCTACCCCAAAAATGTGCTGGATTCAAAACCAGCCTTTCTTTGACACCACCGCTGAAAACACACCCATACACAGAGTTTCAATAGTATTACTAGTAGTTATTGTTAAGTTACATATAGTCAGATTTTAGTCATTTTTTCTGACTCTAATGTGTCAGCCAAACTCTTTCCGCTCACTGGCAGGAACAGTTTAATACTAATCAGACACACCTTATGTGGATTGTTGAAGGCAAGATTTTGATTACATTTAGTAAATAAGTCCTCTATACAGGAGCAGACTTGAAGTGGATTTCTTCAAATAAAGAAAGGCAGAGAGTAGAAGTGTCCAGGTTGGAGGTAAAAGAAAAGGGAGGAGGCCCATGTATCAACAGTAGGATAAGACTCAGCCTGGGAGCTGGCAGGATGCCAGAGCTCTGCGGCCTGGAGCTAGATCAGAGCAGGGTTCGTGAGCTGTAGTTATGAGATGAGGGTCTCAGGTCATGGAACAATAAAGGGCATAGAGCCTCTGCAGCAATGGAGCTTAACCGCTAAACTTTTGTCCTCCAGTCTCAGAAAAACTCAAACGTCTGAGTCAAGTTTTCAAACTGCGAATACTAAAAGACTGCTGTCTCTGGCTTTTGTTACAGCAGACCTCTCTCACATTTGTTTTGAACGGTATCAGCTTTTGTCATCATCACACAGAAGGTTTAAGAGTCCAACAGGCTCGATTGAACAGGGTTCTCTTAGTTCTAAATTGCTTGCACTGATTTGCCCACTTTGCATGTCTGATATGACATATTCATGTGATTGTATTATAGTTTTAATGTATGGTTAAATGTTGTGATTTGTATTTATGTGAAACAATGTACAGTATGTCTTGGGACGCAAGTGACATGTTGCTAAATATTCTCATAATAAAGTGAAATAAAAATACTACATGTGAAGCTTTTTTCCCTCACTTGTAGGCTAATTGACTACTGTTTGAGGACTCATGCATGCATCTTCAATGGTTATAAGAAATTAATTTTTAGAATTATATTCACAAACTTCCTCTATTCTTCTTCTCTATTCAATCTATTCGGCCGTCCCTGTCCTTTGAAGTTGCTAGAGCACTTAAAAGGTTTCTTTAAGCTGCGTCATAGAATGCTTGTTTTGGCTTTAAACTTAGGTTACAAGCTGTTGGAACAGCAGTGTTTGGCTATACTATCTTTCAACCACAATACCCAGGTTCAGACCCCGTTACAACAAGCATCTGTGGCTCACACAATGAACTTAGTTTTAGCAGTGCTGCTCTGGTGCTGATCTTGTGATTTGGCTTCTGCACAGAGAAGGAAAGCACAATAATACATTTTCTCTATTGATTCATCTATATACAGTATCTATCTATCTATCATGCGAGAGCTCACAAAACCTAGAAGTACCTGCTGCACAGGCCTTATCAACAAAACATATTTGGATCAATTGTAATCCTAAACCAATGTACTAAACCATATAATCATCCTACATGCAGTCTTACCAAGAAGCTGTCAAGTAGTAAGATTGTTGGACTCCATCGCTCCACAAACACCACTGAAAGCTTGTGCGTGCTGCCATCGTCTGGTAATTGTGGGTACTGCAACTCACCAAAACTCAACATTTCTTTAACCAGGTATACTGCCAACATATGTATTCTAGCGCTGCAATATATTATGTATATACAGTGGGTACGGAAAGTATTGAGACCCCTTTAAATTTTTCACTCTTTGTTTCATTGCAGCCATTTGCTAAAATCACAAAAGTTAATTTTATTTCTCATTAATGTACACTCAGCACCCCATCTTGACAGAAAAAAACAGAAATGTAGAAATTTCTGCAAATTTATTCAAAAAGAAAAATTTAAATATCACATGGTCATAAGTATTCAGACCCTTTGCTGTGACACTCATATTTAACTCACATGCTGTCCATTTCTTCTAATCCTCCTTGAGATGGTTCTACTCCTTCATTGGAGTCCAGCTGTGTTTAATTAAACTGATTGGACTTGATTAGGAAAGGCACACACCTGTCTATATAAGACCTTACAGCTCACAGTGCATGTCAGAGCAAATGAGAATCATGAGGTCGAAGGAACTGGCCAAGGAGCTCAGAGACAGAATTGTGGCAAGGCACAGATCTGGCCAAGGTTACAAAAGAATTTCTGCAGCACTCAAGGTTCCTACGAGCACAGTGGCCTCCATAATCCTTAAATGGAAGAAGTTTGGGACGACCAGAACTCTTCCTAGACCTGGCCGTCCAGCCAAACTGAGCAATCGTGGAAGAAGAGCCTTGGTAAGAGAGGTAAAGAAGAACCCAAAGATCACTGTGGCTGAGCTCCAGAGATGCAGTAGGGAGATGGGAGAAAGTTCCACAAAGTCAACTATCACTGCAGCCCTCCACCAGTCGGGGCTTTATGGCAGAGTGGCCCGACGGAAGCCTCTCCTCAGTGCAAGACATATGAAAGCCCGCATAGAGTTTGCCAAAAAACACATGAAGGACTCCCAGACTATGAGAAATAAGATTCTCTGGTCTGATGAGACCAAGATTGAACTTTTTGGCATTAATTCTAAGCGGTATGTGTGGAGAAAACCAGGCACTGCTCATCACCTGCCCAATACAATCCCAACAGTGAAACATGGTGGTGGCAGCATCATGCTATGGGGGTGTTTTTCAGCTGCAGGGACAGGACGACTGGTTGCAATTGAAGGAAAGATGAATGTGGCTAAGTACAGAGATATCCTGGAAGAAAACCTCTTCCAGAGTGCTCTGGACCTCAGACTGGGCCGAAGGTTCACCTTCCAACAAGACAATGGCCCGAAGCACACAGCTAAAATAACAAAGGAGTGGCTTCAGAACAACTCTGTGACCATTCTTGACTGGCCCAGCCAGAGCCCTGACCTAAACCCAATTGAGCATCTCTGGAGAGACCTGAAAATGGCTGTCCACCAACGTTCACCATCCAACCTGACGGAACTGGAGAGGATCTGCAAGGAAGAATGGCAGAGGATCCCCAAATCCAGGTGTGAAAAACTTGTTGCATCATTCCCAAGAAGACTCATGGCTGTACTAGCTCAAAAGGGTGCTTCTACTCAATACTGAGCAAAGGGTCTGAATACTTATGACCATGTGATATTTCAGTTTTTCTTTTTTAATAAATTTTGCAAAAATTTCTACATTTCTGTCTTTTTCTGTCAAGATGGGGTGCTGAGTGTACATTAATGAGAAATAAAATTAACTTTTTTGATTTTAGCAAATGGCTGCAATGAAACAGTGAAAAATTTAAAGGGGTCTGAATACTTTCCGTACCCACTGTATATGTAGCTGTAAATTTGATTTCAGTAGTGAGTAGTCTCATCCAAGTATATTGTGTGTCTGTGCAAAACAATCAATACACAAGTGTGATAAGACTTGGAAGATAAGTTGAGAAAAAAACAGGACACAAAGAAACAGGACACATTGTCAGATACTTCAGGGACATCTTTACACTGTAAAGTTTGTATTTAAATAGGAACATCCTGCATGAAAACATTCTTGGACATCCATCACGTCAAATTTTCTATCTGAAACGGTTTAAAAATTGACTTAAGTTTGAAAAACATGTCAACAAAATCCAGTTTAATTAAATTAAAAATACTTTAGACTTGAAGTGCATTGGACAAGAGACGCAGACTCCCCTCCTGTTCATGGTGGACTCAATTACCCATCAGGCAACATCAGATGGAGTGTGCAATACTATACCAACCTGACAGTGAAGGTTTAAGGATATATATATATATATATATATATATATACTCACATTCAGGGAACTTTCAGAATGCAACACCTTAAATATTAAAGATCACAAGGTGTCAAATGAGCACATACAATCTAACAGGATAAAGAATTGCACCAAATTCTTAGAGGAAACACAATGTACACATTTGACACTGTATTCACACCCAGAGAGAAGGCACGAGGTGCACGGCCATAACTAAACAGTCAACACAGCCACACAAATAAGTTAAATCAAACAAGACACAACATTAATGCTCAAACCCATGTCAAATAGTTAAACATCACAGGCTTTTCTCCCATTTTCAGGCAAAAGTTAAAAATATATATTACTGTATTGGGACAGATATCAAGATTGCGTCGATATACGACACTGATATTGACACTTGTTGATGTGTCGATACTGGCAACAGGCACACACACACAAATACATTTATTTTTTTCATCTACTACTCAGCTTGTGTCATGTGAGGAACTTCAAGACACAACCATTTAATAATATCTCAAATTTGGGAAGGAAGGGGGAACTGTGATCCCAACACACAACTGTTTCTTAAACCAAAGGATCACAGATTTCAGGGAAATGTTAGTGTCCTAAATTGTCAAAAAAAAAACGAGGACAGTGCAGCAATTTCACTTCAGGACAATCATTGAAGTATCTGCCTCAAACATTAGTTGTTAAAGTACAAAATAAAAGGGGAAATTCGCTGACACATGGGGGTATTGCACATTTAAAATGTTGAAATTTTGCTTAATCTTGATTGTCACCTACTTCCATCCAGCCATCAAACAGAACAGTCTTAAAAATGATTCCTGTTTCCGCACTATCCTGGTTCTTGAAAATGCTCCGGTCCTCTCGTGTCGAGGCCTGTCCCCGAGGAGTTAGAAGAGGCGGTGGATAGCTCTGAAGCACCCCCATCATTAACCGCTCCATTATCTTTTGTCTTGAAATAAATGACATAAAATAATGGCAGGACGATGCCTATCAGGAGCATGGCAACCACGGCGTTCCACCACTGGATGCTCCAGTCTGCACCGGGTCCGGTCAGGCGCCGCCCTCTGAAACCAAACCTCTGCTGTTTCCCGGAGTTAGCCGAGAAATCGTCGTCTTGATCGTTTGTGGTCTGAATCAGTTTCTCGATATCGTGGTCCACCTCCATTAGAAAGTCTGTGACCTCCTGCAGATGTGGTTGTGCTCTGGCTCGGTCCTGAGGCTTCACCAGTGCGGTGGATGAATGTGGCGTTTCTTCTCGAGGGTCGCTCGGTTCTGTGCACGTCTCTGTTAGAAAGCTGTGTTTCTGAACGGGTATTTTGATAGATTTCAAGGCAAATAAATCTTGTTCTTGCATAAGGTTGTTCACCCGCTTTATATCTGCCACCTGTTGACAGAAACAGGAACGTCAACACTTGAAGAGATCCACACCAGAAATGATTTTGCTGACTACACAAAATCTTTACCTTGCAGCCATATTGCAGTGCAAGCTTGCTGAGGTTGTCACCATCTAGTACCTCGCACTCCAGCAGCTGGACGCTCCTCAGGCTGTCCTGCTCCTGGTCTTGGAAAACCCACGGCCTCATCTCCATGAGATTGAGCTCCTCATCATCTGAGGATGCGGTGGACTCATTGGGCCTCCTGTTGAACATGTAAACCTGGCCATCTGCACTGGCGTGGACATCCACCGGGGCCTGGAAAGCCTGTGATATGTGCTCCCCCCGCCGCATGATGACGCACCAGCCTGTGAGGATATAAGTGCAACATTAAAGCAAGGATACAATCAAAACCCTTTACCTCCCAATTCAAATATATATACATAAAATATATATAACAAATACATATATATATATAATTTATAAAAATATGTATATAAATATATAAAAAATACATATACATTATATATATAAAAAAAAATATATAAATATATACATAAAAAATACATATATATATATTATATATAAAAATATGTATAAATATATATATATAAAAATTATATACAAAAGAATATATATAAAGATCTAAAAATACATTTTATATGTAAAAAAACATATATAAATATATATTTAAAAAAAAAAAAATAAATAAAAAAAAAAAAATATATATATATAGAGTACATGTTAGACTTGCCTCATAGAGTAAAATTGAAGCACCTTATCGATCAAAATAAAATGAACATGACTATTTTCAATAGTCTCAGCCACTAGCATAGCCTCATCGTGTAGTTGCTGAATGTTAAAGGACAGCAACTGTTTAACACAAAAATATATTTATTATTCACAGTAAAATAAACGTGACTAATATCGGGTGAGCATTCAAATTGAAGCCCATTACTCATGTTAAATGATGTTTTAACCCAACGTTAGGTCTCACACTGGGTATCAAGCTGTCCTGTCATGACTCTACTGGACCCCATGACAGGTGACACCATTCTCCAGCTCTGACCTAATGTAGCTTTAATCTGCCTCACACAAGTAAAGAGCAGATGCTTTCGACTTGACCTGGCCTTACATCCACATTTTATCTGCTTAGGCTTAAAGCTGCAGCAGCTGGCCCAAATGGCTTGAATAGGCCACTTCATCTGAATGCCTACTGTCTGCTCAATTTTACAGCCACCCTCACCGTTTATCTACCAGTCAAGAAAAAACTTTTTCAGGAGTCATGCCCCTTGACCTGTCTTCCTAAAAAAAGGTTTCAATTTGAAGCACAATGTGAGTGCACGTGACCAAAACTTAACATGTCCATGTTTTACTCTGGTGGTCACAGTAGTAAAGTACAAGACCTCAGTAAAGCGTGTTATGATTGGGAAGGTATAGTCACTGTCATATATACGTGTGTATGTTTTGCTCCCTTTGTGAAGAGGAACTGCTGAACACATTTTTACTATGACTCTGGTTGGTTCTGCTTTTGCATTTGTACCACAAACAAATCGCACCAGAGTTCACTTGCGGGCCGATGGCTCCTGTATTTAGGGGAGGCTCAGTGTGGTTGTTGAATTATAGCTTTCACACTTTACCTAAACGAACCAAAGCAACACGCAAACTCACGATAGTTTGTGTAAATATCACAAGTGACAGCACCCTAATCACGTCGCAAAATATTTAAAATGTTGCAATTAAATGTATCTAGTACCGTTATACAAAGTAACTTATAAACAGGTATGTGGTTCATCAAAACCTCATTTAAGCGATTGTAAATCAAAATTCAAATATTCCATTTAATCCAACAGTGAACGTTGTGTGGATTTATTCCGTAAAAATGAATTTTGACGTCTTCATTTTGACAATCCAGCAAGCACTATTTACAAATGACGTCGGTGCTCGAGGTTCACGAGGGGCACTTGAAGACGGCATATAAACAGTAGCTATGTGCTAATGCTAACGGCAGCTAATGCTAGCAGGTGAGCGTCTGACGTTCAGCATGTGTTCACCCAAATGTCGGCACCATGGCTTCACTTCAGCTCCGCTTACATATAGACCACTAGCTCGTGTGATTGACACCGCTTGAATAAATACTACTGACAAGATATATATGTATATAGTATATTATACTTTTTGAAACTTTTACTGCGCTCTCCATATGCAGTTACCTTATCCAAATGCTTTAGTGGCAGTTCTGCCTCCCCAAAGCAGTCCTCCCCAGCTCCACTTGCTAACATTACAACAACAACTGGTGGAGCTAGCTGGCTACTGGCTAGCCTACTTCTTCTTCTACCCTCTTTAAAGGTAGTTGTCACAAGAAAAGCATTACTGCCACCCATTGCTCTGGAAGGTGACACAACATTGACAACAACAACAATACTTTTTATTTCCAAAAACTAAACGTTTAAATGAAATGAGGAAATGTATAATGATAACACTTATTATGCTTATTTGTATTATTTTTGCTATCATTGTTAGTATTATTATTGTTATTATATTGATAGTTGTTCAGAATTCTAATTATTATTTATTTTATTTATTTATTTTTGTACATGGTGTCATTTTGTTTTCACCTGCAGTGTGTAACAACGTGGGCACTGCTGCTGCATAAACGCAGGCAAAGGTTTCCCCATTTATGTGACTAATACCTATATTCACATTCACACGCTGAACCATTGAAAGGGACATTTTCAATTTTGATTCCACCACTGTCATAACGTTTGTGGTCCTAAATCTGATACATATCTGATGTATGGTAATGAGACTTAAATGGGGAATTCACTTTCTGTAAATTTTGTCATTTAGTATGAATCCGCAATTCCAACGAGCAACAGTTAGACCACAACATTATTTTTTAAATGTTGCTTTAATACAAAACTCAAAGATCAGAACTAACTAACTTCGAAGCTGAAGAGGTCATAGCTGAGTAACATGTCTGTTTCACAATTAACTAATGACTTTACTCATTGTGGCCTCGCTGCACATGTGAGAGTGTTGGAGAAGGTATTTAGACTGAACATGAACAACCTACAAATAAACACATTTCAGCGTACAACATAGAAACCACCAGATCTCAGCAGTGAAAGATGCACCATACATTCTAAAAGTAAAATAATACACACATTGTTCAATATTGTTTTGTTGCTTTGCACTCAAAATGTACCCATATCATACATCTCCTCTTAGACCTATTAAAACCCCCAACTTAAAACAGAGGTGCATGATATAAAAATAGTATATGATAATTCATTTTTAGGTATTTTCTCTTTCAACTTTCTATTCTTATTAATATTTAGTAACCAAAATACTCATATGCCTGACATCTGTTGGTAGAAAGTCATCATTACATCTCATCTATGTCCCTGAAGCATAGGGGCTGTCCATTTTCTTCCCTCCTTCCCAGCTCAAGACAAGCAGCGGCGAGGACAGAGACAGCACACAGCCTTGGGCTGAGAGAATGCTAGAAAGGGAATATTGGTTCCTTGGACCTCAGGGAGAGAACCCCAGAGGGTTTAGAAAGGTCAAGGTAGTGGTGGTGGGGCATTCGTTGACCACTAGATGGGGCTATGGATCTATCATATCTCTTAACATTTGTATAAAGCCGCTCATCTGCTTATCAGATGGAACTAATGAAGAAGGATTTTTCGGCATGTGGCAAAGTATTATTTTCATTCCACTCTGTTATCGATTTATATTGTTAACATGTATGAAATATTGAATTTTGTAGTTCATCTGAAAATATTACAGCCCTGGTTAATCGCCTGATGAATGGCACCAGAAATATACAGTAAAACTCCTTCTATCAAACCATTTATGAGCAGTATGCAAGCAAAGCATGGCCACATTGTTGAGCAGCACTATTAACTCAAAGATGCCCTCATTTCTATTTGACCAAATAGTTTACTGCAATAATACACATAACGAAAACACTCATATACAGAGCCATACCAAACTGGAATAATTCACCCCCTTAATTAACTCAACTACACTGCTCAACACCAATCTAAACACTAATCACAAATATATGTATGTTACACATTCTTCATAATTATTGCTATTTATATTAATAATCAAATTCTCAACTGTGCCTTCTGCGCCTACGGTCCATCTTTACGGTTTGGAATGTGACGAACGTCCTGCCTACAAGGAGCCTGATTGGTCATCTCTGAACCGCGCGCATTCGTGTCAATATACGTTTTTGTTTGATGGGATATCTGCAAGTCTTGCACAGTTTTAGTTAACAGGAAAGTGATACTGGGGTGCACTGTAAACATGAGACTGACATTAAAAACAATGCCAGCGTGTTGCAGTGTTTGTCTGAATGAGGCCTGACCCAGGGGCCTCCCACACAAATGTTATCGCTTTTCCGCCTCGGTAACACATGTATTCTAAGCAGCTGTTTGCAGTGACCCAGTACACAACACCGTTCACTGCAGTGCACAGGACGATATTGGTAAGCAAGTTACGATGTACGCTCACCTAAGTTACCAGCATACTGTTCATTATCAATAAAAAAAAAAGTTCAGCCAGTCAATAAATGCCACTTTTCAGTGAACTGTTCACCTATTTAGATTGCAGAAATTTAATGTATACAACACTTGATAGTGAGCTAAAAGGTACGTGCCAATATGCCGGGGCATTAGGCAAGTTAATTTAAGATAACTTAATTTCAATTTAGTTAAAATAATACTTGGCCGATAATACTGATAGCTATGTTATTTTGCAGCTACTTGTGACTTTTTCAAATTAATGCAACCCCATCAAAAATGCTCATAAAGGACTTTGGAACTTTCTGATATGGATATAAGGATGTCTTGAAGACATTTTGTTTGCCTCCAGTCCTCACCCAAGTCCTGTAGTATTGAATATCAGTAGATATCAAAGCCCTCTGAGGCAAATTTGTGATTTTGGGCTATACAACATGAATTGAATTGAATAAAAAAATATATATTTTGTATAGTGTCCTACAGTATGTAGCTAGTATAGTATGGTATTTTGGCAAGGTGGTTTGTACAGAATTATAATTATTTGTGTTTCTTGTGTATTAATAGTGCACAGTGAGACATTTTGCTCAATGAGCCCAGCTACAAGCTGGTGTAGCTGATCCACGTCAACGGCACATATAGCGTTAGATCATGTAGTTCAGTGGTTTCCTACTGGTCTAGTGTGACTTTATGCGTTTGTTTTGTGAGCTGTTGCACACAGAACGTGACATTGCTATTGATACTCACCTGTGGTCAATATAGGTGCAGTATCAGAAGGAAGGTGATGCAGAGACTGCCCAAACCAAGCAGGGAGAGAAAGCGGTACAGGTGAGAATTAAGACTGAACTCTAATGTTATCTAAATTGTCAGAAAACAGACATCAAGTATATGATATAGACCCATTTGTTGTCAAAACAGGCATCAGAGTTTCAGCTGGAGAAAGCACACCTACTATAGAACACAAAAAGAGGAGACAAGGTGAGTGGACATTGGCATGGTGGTGGTTGTTATTGTGGAATGTTTTGCACATGGCTAATTGAATTGCAGTCCACAAGAATGGAAGTTAGCACTTTTTCAACGGACCCTTTCAAGCGCTTGTTGGTGCTGGAGACTAAAAGTGAGAGGTTTGACAATAATACTACACAATACTTAAGAGTAACCTCATTTTCTATTGAAATTGTAATTGCCAAAGTCAGGGATGATTTATTCCCAACAGCATGTCAATTTTGATATCAAGAACTTGAAGTTGTTGTGATGAAATGTATCACAAATGCAGAGTTAAGGAAATATCTGAATATTATGGACAAGATGTTGACACTGTTCTGAAGGAGAATAATCTCTTATGATGCACTCTTTTTGTTGCTGTCTGTGGTTTGTGTGTGGTGTGTCGATACCACGTGGAGATAGCAGGAACTGTGATTGGTCTGCAAGGGGGCTTATGCTTTCTCCGATACATTTCTGCTGGTTGGGATTGTTTACAGTAAAGACGACACAAAGCAAGGCTCAGCAGTGTTCTGCTTTTCAGTAACGCACACTTTCTATTGCAGTGAATTAATGAATGTAAACACGATCATTCTAACTGAATTATTGCAATACATGTGGCCCCTATTCCAGACTAACCACTCCCTTGTTACATTATCTCAAAGTGAAATGAAAGCATGTAAACACAGTTCATTTTGGGTATATAATTAAAGCACAATATGGCCTGATAATGCGTCCATCTACTGTTGTGTTGGTGAAATCAACAGGTGAAAATCGATGCTTAGCTATCAACCATTTCCTACGTTGGAGGCACCTCTGAATAAGTGTCCATGTATAATTTGACCATCGCAATCTTTACTCATCCCAAGTGTAACTGCATCAGTTAACAGCCTGCGGTCACTTAAAGGGTCTGTCCTTTGTGAGAATAACCGCTAAAGTGACGCTGAAATCACACAGAAATTAGCTGCTGTTTTTGCTCGAGATGGAGAGAAAAGAGGCTCCAGGGATTTCAACACATAAATCATACAAATGGTGCTCAAGCTGTTGTAGGGTTTACCTGGTCTCTGATGAGTTCAGCCATTAAATGATCTGTGTGGGTAAGAGAGTGGCATGAGCTAGAGCCCATGGAGACAGTAAAACTTTCACCGTGTTCACATTCCATAAACGCAATATATCTTTATGTTTGTGTTAGGTTAGTTAGCTGTTACTGATATATACTGTAATTGTTGTAACTAAACGGATTAATGTCAGGTGGATTATACCACCCTGTGCGATAGGAAAGGAAAGAATAGGGAGACAAGTCCATTGACAATGGACACATAAAGGAACCAGTCACAAGTTTGTCATCTTAGTTATTTATTCACTAGTACAGCTGAAGTGTACAACGGCATTGTAGCATTTCTCTACAGGAGAAAAAAATGTACAGACAACAACAAACGAAGTAGTATGGTTACCATGTGATGTGTGTTGTCAAAAATAACATTAATGGAGATATTAGTATAGTGTGCTGTTGAATGGAAAAATAATAGTGAAAAAAGCCTACAGAGACATAATAAACTGCACTATTTTCTGTTTCTTGAGCTGAAATTGGAAGATTTGAAGTGATTATTTCTGTGGGGCTTGGAGTGAATTTTTCAAGATTACAATGGTTTTCATGAGTAGAACTGTGCATTTTTATGCATTAGAAAAGTGTTTTACCTGACCCGTCAATTGATAAATAATATTTTCCCATGCAGTTGACTGAATAAACGTGTGTAAATAAGCTTTCAGTTTGGCT